ATAACAAACAGCCTCTCAGACCATAGTGCAATCAAGTTAGAACTCAGAATTCAGAAACCAACCCAGAACCGCACAGCTTCATGGAAACTGAACTACTGGCTCTTGAATGTTGACTGGATAAACAATGAAATGAAGGCAGAAATGAAGAAGTTCTTCGAAACCAATGAGAACGAAGACACAACATGCCAGAATCTCTGAGACACATTTAAAGCAGTCTCTAGAGGAAAGTATATAGCAATAAGTGCCCATATGAGAAGAATGGAGAGATCCAAAATTGACACCCTATCGTCAAAATTGAAAGAGCTAGAGGAGCAAGATCAAAAAAACCTCAAAACCCAGCAGAAGACAAGAAATAACTAAGATCAGAGCTGAACTGAAGGAGATTGAGAAACGAAAAACCCTTCAAAAAATCAATAAATCCAAGAGCTGGTTTTTTGAAAAGATCAACAAAATAGACCACTAGCCAGATTGATTAAAAAGAAAAGAGAGAACAACCAAATAGATGCAATAAAAAATGATAAAGGGGAAATCACCACAGATTCCACAGAAATTCAAACCATCATCAGAGAATATTACAAACAACTCTATGCACATAAACTAGTAAACCTGGAAGAAATGCATAAATTCCTGGACTCCTGTGTCCTCCCAAGCCTAAACCAGGAGGAAGCTGAAACTATGAATAGACCAATAACAAGGTCAGAAGTCAAGGCAGCAATTAAGAGCCTACCACACAAAAAAAGCCCAGGTCCAGACGGGTTCACAGCCGAATTCTACCAGACACACAAATAGGAGCTGGTACCATTCATTCTGAAACTATTCCAAATAATCCAAAAAGAGGGAATCCTTCCCAAATCATTTTATGAGACCAATATCATCCTGATACCAAAACCTGGCAGAGACCCAACAAGAAAATAAAACTTCAGGCCAATATCCATGATGAACATAGATGCAAAAATCTTCAATAAAATATTGGCAAGCCGACTGCAACAGCAAATCAAAAAACTTATTCATCATGATCAAGTAGGATTCATCCCAGGGATGCAAGGCTGGTTCAACATACGCAAGTCTATCAATGTAATTCACCACATAAACAGAACCAAAAACAAAAACCACATGATTATCTCAATTGATGCAGAGAAGGCATTCGACAAAATTCAACAGCCCTTTATGCTAAAAACCCTCAACAAACTCGGTATCGATGGAACGTATCTCAAAGTAATAAAAGCTATTTATGACAAACCAACAGCCAATATCATACTGAATGGGCAAAAACTGGAAGCATTCCCTTTGAAATCTGGCACTAGACAAGGATGCCCTCTTTCACCACTCCTATTCAATATAGTACTGGAAGTTCTAGCCATAGCAATCAGGCAAGAAAAAGAAATAAAGGGTATTCAAATAGGAAAGGTGGAAGCCAAATTGTCTCTATTTGCAGATGACATGATAGTATACCTAGAAGACCCCATCGCCTCAGCCCAAAAACTCCTGAAACTGATAAGCAACTTCAGCAAAGTCTCAGGATATAAAATCAATGTGCAAAAATCACAAGCCTTCCTCTACACCAATAACAGTCTTAAAGAAAGCCAAATCAAGAACGAACTGCCATTCACAATTGCTACAAAAAGAATAAAATACCTTGGAATACAACTCACAAGGAACGTAAGGGACCTCTTCAAGGAAAACTACAAACCACCGCTCAACGAAATCAGAGAGGACACAAACAGATGGAGAAACATTCCATGTTCATGATTAGGAAGAATTAATATCGTGAAAATGGCTATACTGCCCAAAGTAATTTACAGAATCAACGCTATACCCATCAAGCTACCATTGACTTTCTTCACAGAACTGGAAAAAACCACCATGAACTTCATATGGAACCAAAAGAGAGCCCGTATAGCCAAGTCAATTCTAAGCAAAAAGAACACAGCGGGGGGCATCACACTACCGGATTTCAAACTCTACTACAAGGCTACAGTAATCAAAACAGCATGGTACTGGTACCAAAACAGAGATATAGACCAATGGAACAGAACAGAGGCATCGGAGGCAACACAACATATCTACAACCATACAATCTTTGATAGACCTGACAAAAACAAGCAATGGGGAAAGGATTCCCTGTTTAACAAATGGTGTTGGGAAAACTGGCTAGCCATGTGCAGAAAGCAGAAACTGGATCCCTTCCTGACACCTTACACTAAAATTTACTCCAGATGGATTAAAGACTTATACATAAGACCTGGCACCATAAAAACCCTAGAAGAAAATCTAGGCAAAACCATCCAGGACATAGGAGTAGGCAAGGACTTCATGAACAAAACACCAAAAGCATTGGCAACAAAAGCCAAAATAGACAAATGGGACCTAATGAAACTCCACATCTTCTGCACGGCAAAAGAAACCGTAACTAGAGTGAATCGGCAACCAACAGAATGGGAAAAAATTTTTGCAGTTTACCCATCTGACAAAGGGCTGATATCCAGAATTTACAAAGAACTCAAACAGATTTACAGGAAAAAAACAAACAAGCCCATTCAAAAATGGGCAAAGGATATGAACAGACACTTTACAAAAGAAGACATATATGACGCCAACAATCATATGAAAAAATGCTCATCACTGGTCATCAGAGAGATGCAAATCAAAACCACATTGAGATACCATCTCACGCCAGTTAGAATGGTGATCATTAAAAAATCTGGAGACAACAGATGCTGGAGAGGATGTGGAGAAAAAGGAACACTTTTACACTGTTGGTGGGAGTGTCAATTAGTTCAACCATTGTGGAAGACAGTGTGGCGATTCCTCAAGGCCTTAGAAATAGAAATTCCATTTGACCCAGCAATCCCATTACCGGGTATATATCCAAAGGACTATAAATCATTCTACTATAAGGACACATGCACACGAATGTTCATTGCAGCACTGTTTACAACAGCAAAGACCTGGAATCAACCCAAATACCCATTGATGATAGACTGGATTGGGAAAATGTAGCACATATACACCATGGAATATTATGCAGCAATCAGAAATGATGAGTTTGTGTCATTTGTAGGGACATGGATGAATCTGGAGAACATCATTCTCAGCAAACTGACACAAGAACAGAAAATGAAACACCGCATATTCTCACTCATAGGCGGGTGATGGAAAAATGAGAACACATGGACACAGGGAGGGGAGTACTAAACACTGGGGTGTATTGGGGGGAAAAGGGGAGGGCCAGTGGGAGGGGGAGGTGGGGAGGGATATCCTGGGGAGAAATGCCAAATGTGGGTGAAGGGGAGAAAGGAAGCAAAACACACTGCCATGTGTGTACCTATGCAACTGTCTTGCATGTTCTGCACATGTACCCCAAAACCTAAAATGCAATAAAAAATTTTAAAAAAATTGTTAACAAGATCATATACTTAATAAATAGTAGACACTTAAAAAAAAAAGGGAGGTGATAGATTTGCTAATGATCCTGATTTGATCATTACACATTGTACACATGTACTGAAATACCATAGTGTACCCCATAAATATGTACAACTATTATGTATCAATTACAGGCAACTTATTTGCTATATTTTCCTCATTAAAAAAAAAAATTTTTTTTGAGATGGAGTTTCTCTCTTGTTGCCCAGCCTGGAGTGCAATGGCATGATCTTGGCTCACTACAACCTCTGCCCCTAGGGTTCAAACAATTCACCTGCCTCAGCCTCCCAAGTAGCTGGGATTACAGGCATATGCCACCACATCCAGCTTATTTTTTATATGAAGTAGAGATGGGGTTTTACCATGTTGGTCAGGCTGATCTCAAACTCCTGACCTCACATGATCCACCCGCCTCAGCCTTCCAAAGTGCTGGGATTACAGGGGTGAGCCACCCCACCCAGCCAGTTTTGTAAAATAAGTAGGTATTATGGAGCCATCCTTGGGTCAAGACAGTAACAATAGTGGCAATCTTTTTATGATACTTATTTTCAAATTTTATACTTTAAGTATGTGCAGTTTATGTTATGCAATTTATATTTCAATAAAGAGAGAGGGAAGGGAAGGAGAGGGGAGGAGAGGTGAGAAGAGGGAAGGGAGGGGAGGGAGGGAGGGAGGAAGGAAGGAGGAAAAAAGAGGGGGAGAGAGAGGGAGGGAAAAGGAAAACTTCATTACATTGCCTTTGAGCATGCTAGGACAGCAATTCATTATTTTGAAAATGGATAAATAAAGGAAAAGAATCAAGAAAAAAAAAAGAACACAATTTATCCACATTCTCTGGTACTTTATAACAAGGATTGCTGTTCTCCCAGCTTGCAATAATATGTTCCTTATTTCTATCTGAGATCTCACCAAAAGTACCTTTAACATTCATGTTTCTACCAATAGTCTGGTTAAGGCAATCTAGGCTTTTTCTGTCAAGCATATCAAAACCTAGCCCTTTCCTCCAGCCTCTACCTGTTACCTAATTCCAAAGCCACTTTCACATTTTTAACGTATTTATCACAGCAGCACCCCATTTTCAAGTATGAAAGTCTGTATTAGTTTCCTAGGGCTGTTAAAGCCAAGTACCGCAAACTAGGGGTCTCAAAACAACAGAAATTTATTGTCTCACAGTTTTGGGGCCAGAACTCCAAAACCCCAAGGTTTTAGCAGGGTGATACTCTCTTTGAAGGTGCTAGGGAAGAAACTGTTCCAGGCCCCTCTTAGCTTCTGACAGCCTCAAGTGTTTCTAGTCACATTCCATCTTCTACCTGTGTATCTTCATATTGTCTTCCGTGTGTGTGTGTGTGTGTGTGTGTGTGTGTGTGTCCAGTTTCCCCCTTTTTATAAGGACACCAATTAGATTAAAGCCCACCCTAAAGACTCTATTTCCAAATAAGGTCTTTAAGCAGCCAAGAGAAACCAGGTTGTGCTTTCTGGGGGACTGGGGGTTAGGACTTTAACAAATTTTATCTGGGGGACACAATTTAACCCATAACAGGCTCCTCACAACTTCGTAGGATGGTTGTCCTTACCCACTGACAGCAGGTGGCTGTAGTTCTCCAACATTACGTCCTGGTACAGGCGTCTTTGAGTAGAGTCCAGTTGCTGCCACTCTTCTCTACTGAAGTCCACAGTCACATCCTCAAATGACACTGATACCTGTAACAACACAGTCTTGTTCAAGGCAACATGATCAGCACTGGAGGATGGGGAGAAGACAGATAGGAAGTTGTTTTTAATACTTTTTCATCATAATATACCATATGGTATGCCCATTAAATAGTTTAAATACATACACATATATAATATTGTGTAGAATATAAAAAATCTAATCATAAATTTCTGCTATTAATTATGTAGGACAGTCTTCCATTTATTAAAAATGATAATTTTTAGCAAGGATTTGACCTTGATCCTATTTTGTTGCTCATTTTTACGAGAAATTTGTGCTCTATAACTTTTAGAAGGAAGCACATATATCCCCTCCATCCCAATTTTTAAAAATTTTACATAGCTCCCTCTCCTGTTGTTTTCATTTACTTTTCAAAAATATGGTCTTTTTGTCTTGATGCCTTTTTATTGGTCATTTCTAATTTGATTCCTTGGTGGTCAGAAAATATACTCTGTGTGATTTCAACATACGGTCTATCTAGGAGAATGTTTCCATGTTTCCCTGAAAAGAATATATATTTGGCTATTGATGGCTGTAGTGTTCTGTAATATGTAAATCAAGTTGGTTGAATGTTGTTGAAATTTCCTGTTGCATCACTGATTTGTTTTCTATGGGTTTAATCACTTATTTGTCAAGATTTTGGTAAAAATTGATAAAATGTTAACGTGTATATGGCTATGCAAAGGACCCAGAATACTCAAAAGCAAGAAAAACTATGAAGGATTTATACCCCTTAATGTTAAGATATACTGTAAAGCTACAGTAATTTAAGCAGTGTGGGACAATGTAAGCACAGACAGACATATCATTAGAACAGAATAAAGTCCAGAAACAAATCCACACATATACAGACAATTTTTTTGACAAAGGTGCCAATGAGATTCAATGGGCAAAAGGGAAGTCTTTTAAACAAATTGTGCTAGAAGGGATAGATATCAGTATTAGGAAAAAAAACCCACAAACCTTGACCCATACCTCACACCATATACAAAAATTAATGAAAATCAAGTTTCAGTATGACTGCATTGCTTTTATCAGACCAACCTTTATACAGATAACAACTATAAACTCTGAACAAAAAATATTTTAAAAACTATCTAAAGATACTAAGGAGCATCCCAAGTTGGGCTGTACTTGGAGGAGAGCTGACACTTAGAAGAGAGGTTGGCACTTTAGCTTGTGAATAGGCCCAGTCAGTGCCATGTGGGGTAACTAAAATTCCAAGAGAAGTGGTACATGCCTATGGTCCTAGCTACTTGGGAGGCTGAGATGGGAGGACTGATTAAACCTGGGAGGTCAAGGCTGCAGTGAGCTATGATTGTGCCACTGCACTCCAGCCTGGCGACAGAGCCAGACTCTGTCTCAAAAAAAAAAAAAAAGAGAGAGAGAGAAGAAAAGAAAACCACAAGTGTTATTGCCTTGAAGAATCAAAGGGGAGTTCTACAGTCATCACTACCCCTGGAAAATCCTGGTAGTGGGGTTTCCAGAAAGGCACTGAAAGAGAGAAGGGTGCCTAAATTCTGTGGATGAACTCTGCCCAAATCTCTAGTTGACCAGCTAAATGAACTGAAACTTCCACTACCACATACCACAGAGAAAACAGTTCCTAGTTTGATCCAGGCATGTTAAGTGCTTCTTACAAAGCAAAACAAAAAATCAGCACTATTCAGAGGAATTAAACAGAATCAAGCATCTCTAATATATGTTTCACAACAAAGATACAATCCCAAACAACTTAACAGAGAGACAGAAAGGTGTGGAGTGAAAGGGAAGAGGCTCAAGAAAAATGCACTCAGAGACTGACCTGAGGTGATCTAGATGCTAGAATTAGCAGAAAAGCACTTTAAATCAGTTAGTTATAATTATGCTCAAAAACATACAAATATGTTCATAATAAATGAATAAATAGGATAGGCCAACTGAGAAATATGAACTATTAAAACAACTGAAAAATACCATCTGAAACTAAACAGTTCACTGGATGGACTTAACAGAAGACTAGAGATAACTGAAGAAAGAGATAATTAACGTAAAGACAGACCAACAGAAATTATCCAATCTGAAAAGCAGTGACAATAAAATTGAAGATAAAAAAAATAGAGTCTCAGGGATGATGCTATGGTTTGAATGTTTGTGATCCCTCCAAAATTCATGTTTAAACTAAATCCTAACGCAACAATATTAAGAGGTATGGCCTTTGGGAGGTATTTAGGTCATGAGGGCTCATGAATGGATTAGGAGTGTTCTTTTAAAAGAGCTGGAGGGAACTAGCTATGTCCTTCCTTTTTGACCTTCCACCCTTTCCACCATGTGAAGACACAGAATTCACCCCTCCTGGAGGCCACAGCAACAAGGTGCCATCTTGGAAGCAGACAGCAGCCTTCACTGGACACCTAAGTTGCTGGTGTGTTTATCTTGCACTTCTCAGCCTCCAGAACTGTAAGAAATAAATTTCTATTGTTTATAAGATACCCAATCTCAGGGATGTTGTTACAGTAGGACAAACAGACTAAGACAGATGAGTAAGACAAAAATCAAAAGATCTAACATACATGCAATTTAAGACCCAGAAGGAGAGAAGGGCAGAAAAGATATTTTTAAATATAATGTGCAGACATATATACCATGGTATACTATGTAGCCATAAAAAAGAATGAGTTCCTGTCCTTTGCAGGGACATGGATAAAGCAGGAAACCATCATTCTCAGCAAACTAACACAAGAACAGAAAACCAAACACCACATGTTCTCACCCATAAGTGGGAGTTGAACAGTGAGAACATACGGACACAGGGAGGGGAACATCACACACCGGGACCTGTTGGGGGATGGGGGGCTAGGGAAGGGATAGCACTAGGAGAAATACCTAATGTAGATGATGGGGTGATGGATGCAGCAAACCACCAAGACACTTGTATAACCATGTAACAAACCTGTATGCTCTGCACATGTACCCCAGAACTTAAAGTATAATAAAAATAAAATAATAATGTGCAGAAACTCCTCAAATTTGGTGAAAGACATACATTTATAGATTCAATAAGTTTTGCACATTTCAAACAGAATAATCCACATAAAACCATTCCTAGGACCATCATAGTCAAACTATTGAAAACCAAAGAAAACAAGATTTTACAGGCAGCCAGAACAGCAAAAAACAAACAACCCCTCCCCAACAAATATTACATATAGAGAAATGGTGATTCAAGTGACCACTTATTGCTCAACAGAAGAAATGGAGGCTACAACACAGTTGGATGGTACTTTTAAAATGCTGAAGAAAATAAAGTGTTATCTGGCTGGTTAAATGTCAGGAGTTCTGAAGGCCGAGGCACAATTCTTCATGGCTGTTTGCACCACACACTGGGTTCTTAGCATCACCATCCGAGTCATCCTTCCTTTTTCATGAAAGGCAACAAAAGAGTTTGCTCAGCCTGCTTCCTGCCAGAAGATTTTTGGGGGCTAACATATTTTTCCATTTTTTATTGTTTATATCCCGTTCAGTCCAAAGTGGTAGTATTTCTGCTAATATAGTTTGCTGTAATATTTTATATTCTGTGAATCTCACTGGGTTTACTGCATTGGACAAAAGCTATACCCATAGATCTCTCTGAAATTTAGGATTTCTCTAACATTCTCCTTAAAATCTTTTCCAGCCTCCACCAACTTCTCAGTTTGAAGGACACTCCCACATTTTCAGGGTGCCCCGTTCCCAGTACCAAGATTTGTGTTACTTATCTATTTGATGCATAGAAAATCACTCTAAAACTTAGTAAGTTAAAACAACTGAGTCACTCAGCACAACAGCCTGTAAGAAAGTGAATCTTACCAACAATCACTTTGAGTAAGCTTGGAAGTGGAGCCTTCCCTAGTCAATCTTCAAGATGAATGTAGCCCCAGCGAACACCATGGACTACAGCCTTGTGAGAGACCCTGAGTGAGGGGACCCATGTAAGCCACACCTGGATTCCTGACTCACAGAAACTGTGAGGTAATAGATGAGGGCAGCTCACAACATGGCAGCTTGCTTCATCAGAGCAAGCAAGAAGAGCCAGAGAGTGTGCTCGCAAGCTGTCTTACAGTCTCTTATCACCTAACCTCAGAAGGGCTATCCCATCACTTTTGCCATATTCTATTTATTAGAAGCAAGTCACTAGGTCCAGTCCACACACAAAGTGAAGTGGATTACACGAGGGTGTAAATACTGAGTAGTGGGGATCACTGAGAGCCATTTTAGAAGGCTGCTTACTACAATGCATCAAAATGTGTGAGAAGCAGATAAAAGACAAATTTAGAAGAAAATTTTTGGGCCAGGCGCGGTGGCTCAAGTCTGTAATCCCAGCACTTTGGGAGGCTGAGGCGAGTGGATCACGAGGTCAAGGGATCGAGACCATCTTGGTCAACATGGTGAAACCCCGTCTCTTCTAAAAATACAAAAAATTAGCTGGGCATGGTGGCGCGTGCCTGTAATCCCAGCTACTCAGGAGGCTGAGGCAGGAGAATTGCCTGAACCCAGGAGGCGGAGGTTGTGGTGAGCCGAGATCGCGCCATTGCACTCCAGCCTGGGTAACAACAGCAAAACTCCATCTCAAAAAAAAAGAAAAAAGAAAATTTATAGCTTTATACAGTCATATTAGAAAAGTCTAAATCAGTGTCGTAAAATTTACCCTCAAGGATTCATTAGCTAATAGAAAATGAAGGACCAAATAAATCTAAAGGAAGTAAAAGAAAGGAACTACTAAAGAACAGAAATAGAAAACAAACCATAGAAAAAGTTAACAAAAAATTAACTTGAGCTAGATTATAGACCTCAACATAGAAACTGAAACTAAAAATACCATAGAAGGAAATGTAAGAGGATATCTTTGCAACCTTGACATAAGCATGGATTTCTTAACATAGTACAAAAAGCCCCAATCATAAAAGCAAATCTTCAAAAACTGGATCTTATCCAAATTAAAACTTCTGCTCATCAAAAGGCACTATTG